AGTTATTGCACTTTGGCAATTCAGACTTCTTCAAGTCACAAACCTTTGAATGGTATATTTTTTGCGCATCACCTGCCTGAATTCAAGAACACACCAATGAAATAAAAAAATAAAATGATCAGCATAACTTTTGGAAATTTAAAATTCATATTAGCGAATACAATGTTTCCTGGAAATTAATTAAATCAATGGAGGGTGATTTTTCTTGCATTCCTGCTTCAGATTTTACATTGAAGGAATTTGAAATGCTTTATTTCAGTAAAATTAAATATTTACAGGTTAAATAAATTTTACAAATTCGGTAACAGCAAAGTTTTTTTTCAGTTGTAAATCCACTCATGCTAATTTTCTTTTTGCTTCAACTTTGTTTGATTAAATAAATTTGTAATTTTAAAATGGGGGAATCAAAAGCATAAGGGACCCGAAATGCTTTTTGAAGCGTGTATAGTTACATTTTTAATTTAATCTTAATCTTTTATCTCAATAATTTAATAAGCACAAAAAACTAAATAAACTTAATGTAAACTAGTCTGAAGGGAGAAAGTCTTCAATTTAGTGAGATATAACTTAAACTGTTCTCAATAAGAGACTTGACACACGGTTCAAATGAAATGTGTCATTATAGCACGGTTTTTGACTCACAGAGGTTCAAGTTAGCAAGTTCCAGCACCTATTATTCAAAATATGGTTCTGTGTCATTTAGTTTTTGTGTTTGCTCTTTTAAAGGTTGAGAGTCTTTAAATTAGTTAAATTTTGATTGCACTGTTCTCAAGAGAATTCAGACATGGATTAAACACATGTGTCCTAAGCAGAATTTTGACTTTTATAGGTTCATGTTAGCATGGTGCAGTACCCAGCACCTATAGGTCCAAAGATGGTTCATCCTCATTTTGCTGCCAATTTTAGCAGTTTCAAAGTGGGAAAGTGTACAACTTATTACAGTTTAAATATAACTATTCTTAGGAAATTTCTGGAATTTAGTATAAGCAAAAATATGTCAATATTGGGAGTTTTTGACTTACAGAGGTTATTCAGTAAGTTAGCAAAGGTCCTAAGATGGTTCATCCACATTTTGCTTCCAATTTTAGCAGTTTTAAAGTGGGAAAGGCTTCAACTTAGTAAAATCTAAATAGAACTGCTCTCATGAGATTTCAGGAATGGAGTAAACAAAAATATCCCATCATCATTGGGAGTTTTTTTTTTTTTGCTTAAAGAGGTTGTTCAATAAGTTATCAAAGGTCCTAAGATGGTTCATCCACATTCTACTTCAAATTTCAGCAGTTCCAAAGTGGAAAAGGCTTCAACTTAGTAATATCCAAATAGAACTGTTCTCAGGAGATTTCAGGAATGGAGTAAACAAAAATATTTCATTATTATTGGGATTTTTTACTTAAACAGAGGTTATTCAATAAGTTAGCAAAGGTCCAAAGATGGTTCATCCACATATTGCTTCAAATTTCAGAAGTTTTAAAGAGGGAAGGCTTCAAATTAATAAAACCTAAATAGAACTGTTTTCATGAGATCTCAGCTGGAATGGAGTAAGCAATAATTAAAATGTCATCATTATTGGGAGTATTTTTTTTTCTTAAAGAGGTTATTGTTCATTAAGTCAATAACAATGGCCCAAAAAGATGGCTCATCCACACTTGGCTTTCCAAAAACTGTTTCCAGTTGGTGGACACTAAGCCATACACGATCCAGTCCATCGGAGTCGCCGGCGCCATCATGATGATAGTGACCCTCATCTTCATCCCGAACCCACTGTGTGCCCTCTGGGTCGGCTTCTCCATCGTGTCCATCCTCATCGGGGTCATGGGTTACATGAGCCTCTGGGGTGTGAACCTCGACACCATCTCCATGATCAACCTCATCATGTGCATCGGCTTCTCCGTCGACTTCTCAGCCCACATTTCCTACGCCTTCATGAGCTCGAAAACCGAGACCCCGGAAGAAAGACTCAGCGACGCCCTCCACCACCTGGGACTGCCCATTTTGCAGGGATCCGTGTCCACGATCCTCGGGATCCTCGCCTTGGTCTTTGCCCCGTCCTACATCTTCGTCACGTTCTTCAAAATCGTCTTCTTGGTCATGTTTTTCGGCGCCGTGCACGGACTGCTGTTGTTGCCCGTGCTGTTGTCCATCTTCGGACCCGGGTCATGTCATCTCAGCCGCAATAATAAAAAGAATAAAAAGCATCATCATCATCATCATCATCAGGACCATCATCATGATCAGCAGCAGCAGCAGCAGCAAAAGGTCATGGACACCGACAGAGGCATAGTGGCGTTCCTGGCAGTCGGTGGTCCTCACATCAGCACCAGGCACCATCATCGTGGCATCGTCATGGACGCCGCTCAATTGGCCAGGGCACCGAACATGAAACGGGCCTACGACAGTTCAGACAAGGACCTGGGACTCGGCACCTCGGGAGAAGATTCCAGCGAATCCAGTTTCGGTCCTGGTCTCAACAGTGCCACGAATTCGCCGAGAACCGCGATTGCTGGTGCTGGTGGTGCTGGTGCTGGTGCTTTGACTCAGTATCGAAGTTATTCGATGCGTGACACGGACAGGAGACAACCCGGGGAGCAGCATAGAAGCAGGAATCCGATGCCGAATAGCGGGAATAATAATTCGAGGGCGGCGGCGGTGGTGGCGGCGGCGCCGGTGTGGCACAGTGGGCCGCCTCGGGCCCAGTTTCAGGCGGCGCATTTGGCTCGTCACAGTTCGGCGAGGATGCATTCGTACCATCATCAGCACCACCACAATCGTGGGTTCGTGTGGGAACTCGAGCGGTAATCGAGGTGGAACCCTGCTGATGATGGCGCCCCAGTATGTTGGAAAAAAAAAAAAGAAATCCGACATATTGGTGCTGTGGCAGCAGCAAAAGAAACTAAAAACCAATTTTGACTCTGTATTTTTTTTTCTTTTTATTATTTTTTGCGCTTTTCATCGTCGCGAATGAACGAAGTTCTTGAGCGCAGAAAGTCCTGCAATTTTTTTTTCCTTGTGTATAATTTTAATATTCGAAAAGTAAATTTAATAATTCCACGATTTTTATAACAAGAAAAGAGAACGCGAACATGTTAAGTCATGGTTCAGATGAAAAGGCTTTCAAAATTAATTTTTCCGGATAAGACGAACTTCAGTTATTGTGCCAATGTCACATTTTGGCTAGTCTGAAATACTTGAAAATACTCTCGGAGCCGAAATTCGATCAGAGGGTTTTTCGCAATGACATCCGGCAGTTCAGAAATTGTTTGAAAAAATAACTTCACGCAAAATAATGATGATATTTTGGCATTAATGGGAAATTCAGCAGGGAAGAATGTTTTACAAACGTTGACTCTTCAAGGTTTTATTTATACTTATATATTATTATATATTCAATTTATATTTGAAATTATCTATTCTTAAATTTGAGACGATTCTTGAGTTTATTATTCAAGAAGCAAAGAAACAATCGCGGAGAAACAAAAACTGTGACTGGCTTGTTTTTTCAAAATGAACAGTTCTATATATATGCGCTACATTATGAAATTCTGGAATGTAAAATAAAACCATAAATCGTCAAATCTAAAATTCGTCGATCAGTGTTGGAAATTGAAATTTACTTTTTAGAGTCTCGTGGGGCGTCTCAAGACTTCGTTCAAATTGCGCGAAATGAGCTTTCAAAATTTTGAGAAAATTGAAGCGAGGTTTCAATAAGAGTATAGGGAAGAGAAATCAGAGTGTGTCAGCAGCAGAAGATTGAATGATGTTTACCGAAATACGCGAAGAAATCGAAGAGAAAAACAAAGAAAAAGAACGTGTATTGTGCTCATGTGTGGGGTTTTGGTTCAGAGGCATTATATATGGAGCCTGCATTCTGCCAATTTGTCTTTCCGAAGTTTGAGCTGCTGCGGAAACCCTATTTTCACGCATTTCAAAAATTGACTGCGTTTCAATCAAGGATGAGACATTTCAGATTTTCAATCATCTTTATAAATTAAATGCATCAAAGAAAAATTCAAATCGGAGAGAATAGAATTTTTTTTTTTTTTGCTCTGATTTTCGTTCTCATCAGAAAAATGCATGCAAACTTTTGCTCAAATATACGTTGATCCACCACCGAAAGCATGAACAATTAATTGCGCTGTGTGGTTTTACGCAGTGAAAATAGCTTTATTTTTTTATCTTAACCCATAGCTAACTCTTTAATCTAATGAATATATATATATAGGTGCTTTTTGTTTAGTTTTAGACAAAATGTGCCATGATGGGAAGAAGATTCGTAGCAGGCATTTGAAGTGAGCTGAAGTCACAGCTTTGGCATTCACTTCAGAGTCAAAGAGCAAAATTTATTTTAATACTTTATACCATTCATCGAATAAATGTTTTTTTTTTGCGGTTGCAGCTCAAGCAAAACATTTTTTTTTTCGTTGATCGCAAAATGATCTGTGATCATGTACAGAGTGACGAAGAAAACTCTTATATGAAACGGCGAAAATTTCCCTCGATTTTTTTGCTCATTTTATCGACGATTTTTGAACGATCCGTGTTTTATGTGTTTTTGGCGATTCTTTTGTATAGAAAAAAAAGAAGCAGGGTCTGCTTTCGTCGAAAAAGAAAATGGGAAAGTCTTGTGTACGGAAAAAAAATCCCTGGTCTGTGTTTCATTTCATCTCGTGCGGCTGCGGAAACTTGTGGAGGTTTGGCTAATTCGAGGCCAGCTTCAGTGACTTTCGCTAAAGATAATTTTTTGGAGGTGTACAAATTGGCAAAGGTTTTAATCAATCGTAGCTGGTTATTCTATGATGTTAGAAGCATGGATCGTGGCCAGTTTTCAAGCGATGTCGACGAGCTGCCAACAATGAGGAACCGCGTCGATTCCCGACAGATAATTCCTGACGACGCCCAGTAAGTTTAAATTCTCCTTTTTTTGTGCATAAAATCCAAAACGGATATTTTTTTATGCTCTTTCTTTCAGAATAATGCGTGAATACGACATGAGAGCATTTGAGCAAACATCGAGTACAGAATCGCTGGATAAAATGGAACGCGAATGTGGAGGAGCGGATCGATATTCGCTACTTCCCAGGGGAACACCTTGTGCAGATATTTTCGGCAACGATGCGATCGTCGGCGCTGCGAAATTTCGCAAACGTGATTTAAATATATACATATATATATATATATATATATATTTTAAGTCAGCATTGTTAGAGAACGCACTGACAATCGGCTCTTAACATGGAGATTCTGCAGAATTTATCTCATGTAGAAAGGTCACATTCCATTTTGAAGAAATGTTTTGCGCAGAAATACGCCCTTATTATTTCGAGAATTTTCCTCTTTATTACCGATAGGTTTACACTGAAATTATCACGCAGGGACCTTAAAATGAAAACGCATATGTATATTTTTTATGTACAGTATTTTGTGCTAGAAAATTTGTCCAGCCAGGAGCAGGAATGATTCAAATATCTATTTCAAATTCATTATTTTTATAGATGTCTCCAACGTGGAAATGTTGCTTCACACCAGCATTTTGAAATATTTGATGTTTTGCCTGCGTAATCCGCATTAAAAGACTTGGGATATCCCAAAAAATAAAATAACCTTCAACCCCTATTGCTTTTCCTAAAAAAAATTCTCTGGAAATTTCCGATAAAATGTGAAGCTCAGCATGCAGTTGAGGAAAATATGGCATCTGCTGATTTTAAAATTTAAGATTCAAGCATCAAAATTGTAACTTTGACTTCGGTTCATCTTATGCTTTTTTTATTCCTGGGAATCATATTTTAAATTGTACAAAACAAAAAACCCGTTCTTGATCAAAAATGTCACAACAGTAAAATCAAAATCTCTAAAAATCTCTTCAAGGTTTTAAAAGAATTCAGAATTGTAAATGGGCCCTCATAAACTTTTTATGTTAAAAAGCATGAAGAACAATGTCATGGGTCCATTGAATCCCAGACAAAGGAATTGAATTGTGCAGCCATCAGAATGCAAGTTTTGAATAAGAACTCAGGCTCTTTTCAGAGGAGTTCATTCTCATATTGCACAGATTGTCATATGGCTGTTAAAGAAATGGGTGTTTGGAATGGCACAGTCAATTGTAAGATTGCTTGGTTAGCTCAGAAGATTGAAAAAGGTAATTTAAAAAAGGCCCTTTAACAAAAGATCCTAACGTCTCCTCTCAAAAAGGAATGAAGGCTTTTATACCCAGGTGCTCAGACTGGGTCAGGAAGAAATCAGGTGCTTACTTCCTGCCTCAGGATTGGCCAATTGTTTTAAAATTTAGGAAGTGATGACCACTTCTGGTCATTGAGTGAGGCTCAGTGAGTCTTGCAAAAATTGAATTTTGGCAAGGCTCACTGGCCTTGAAATGCAGCAAGTTTTTTTTTGGCCAGTTGCAGCCAGATAGATGCCACCGCTGTGCCGCTTTGGAGCATGCATGACAACCAATTCCAAATAAAATCTAAACTTTACTCTGAATTTGTGTTAGGATAGTTTCACTTCGTATTCTTGAGAGTCAATAATCATTGTAAAATGAATCTACATTTAATAGTCTCAAACAAGGCAAATTAATACCTAATGCTCAAAAATCTTGCCTCAAGGATACTTCAAAAAATGTTTCACAAATGTAAAAGTAATTTTATTCAGACTTAGTGCTAATCTTCATGTTAAGGAACCCTGATAAGGAAAGAAAATGCAACCGTGGCTTAATTGAGTTGAACTTTCGTTTTGATGTCCAGGAGTTGAAGTTTAACGAAGTGCAAATTTACGGCTGCAATTCATGTAATCCTTTCTCAAATGAGGCTTAAGAATAACTTGAACTTGAATATTTTCTCTCAATTTAAATATTTTCATCAGGGGGGGGGGGGAGGTTGAACAGTTTTTCTTTTTACATGACTTCGGGAATCCTTTTTAGTTATCATCCCGTACTCACATCACGATGGTGCCCACTAAAAAAATGGAAAAAAATGAATTTTTAAAACGGCAACCTTGGCTTCAATATAATTCACATCGAGATCGTTTCGATTCCACGGACTCATCATAAAAATGTCGTGCTATCATAAAAATGTATGATGGATGTTCACATGTATATATATAAAACGCAGACTTCGAATGCAACGAAGATGTGGAAGAATGCGACATGTCGGACACGGTGGACCCGTGCAAGCCCCCGGGCGAAGGAGCTGAAGTTATGGGCCACGTTTCGAAACGGATGCGACGCAATTGCTTCGTCAGACCTTCCCACTTGATCATGGGAGTCAGGAGACCCAAAGATGCCCCGATTGCTTTGACGCCCGGGGTTCGAATCACGGGGCTGTTGAACCGCACCGAAAAGGTGGACAAGGACGTTGGCGCGACTTTTGACAAATACATGGTACTGGTTTTTTTCGAATCAATTATTTATTTATCAAATTTATTGCTTTTTAAAATTACACTTGCATATAGTTATAATCAGGAGAGCTTACCCCCCCCCCCCCCCCACCAAATTGCACAAAAAAAGACGTTTCTACTGTAAATCGTTGACATGATATACATTGAACCCTTTATTGTTTTAACAAACTCAATTTTAGTATCCCAATACTGTTCAGCTTTTTCTTTTCCCCATTCTGAAGTGATTGAAAGCATTTGAATGGATTTGGGTTTGGTGGGGGAGTGGGTTTGAATGTGGGAATGTTGATTGAACCTTGTGAATGCTGAAAAGAGGAAAATGAAGCTTTCTGTTCATTCATCATTCACAAAACTCAATTGGTTCTAGAAAAAGGTTTGCTGTGGACCAAAAAGTTTGTTAACCGAATTTCATTTTTGCATTGACTTCAATGGAGAAGAATTTCGTACGTTCTGTGAATCTAAAAGACAACTGAACATTGTATATTCAAGACCAAAACCCGTATTTAGAATGATAAGTTGCTGATGCATCTTTTATGAGCCCAGCATGCTTTTATGGTGATATCTGCAAGTATCACTGACAAAAACAATGAAAAAGCTTTACAACTAGAGGAACACAAACTGTAGGATAAATGCCAGAGGAAAAGGAATTTTCTTTTTTTTTATGCTGCAAGTAAATATCAAATAGACCTTTGTAACAATTGAAAAACTAGAAAGACCAAGCACAGAAAAACAAATAATTCTGTCACAGAAGAGAACATATGAATAATAAGGTACCTGAAAAAATTTTTAGAACAGAAGAATGCACATATTAAATAGCCAGAAAAGAAGAATTTTCATATCAGTGCATCAATTGTTGAATTATTTGCACTTGGATTATTGTACCATAAATTAGAGCCTCAGAATAAAAGTTTAAATCTTCAAATTTGGGATTTCTCCCCATCAGAAAAAGTTTGTTAACCAAATGTTGGTTCAATAACAGATGAGGGGTGTTTCCTCAAAGCCAAAAGTTTGTTAAGTGAAAAGCTTGTCAACTGAGGGTCCACTGTATGTTACTCACAGTAAGTATGGTTGATGCAAGGCTTGTCCCAAGTCTCAAAACCTGTGAACCAACCCTGGTATATATGCAGTATATACCGTATTTACTCAAGTACTATGCACACCTTTTTTCTCAAATTTCAGAAAAATAAAAGGGGTGTGCGTCATAAGTGGGTACAAATTTTTCAAGAAGTTTTAGGAAGATATGTGTGCATTATACTTAATTATAATGTAGAAATTTGTAACAAATGTAACAAGAAAACTTGTTTGTACTGAAAAGTTAAAATTTGATCTGATTTTCAATTCATGTCTAAAGCCAAATTTTTTAAATTTATTTTTGAAAAGTTGAGGTTTTAGATTCACTAAAAATTGGGGTGCACATCTTACTTAGATTTTAGCCAAAAATCTAACTGAAAAACCCCTGTGCGCGCCTTACTCAAGGGCGCATGGTATTCATCCCAAGTGGGGAGCTATTTTTGCTGTGACCCCACACGAAGTGCACACCAGGGTCACAACTGGTGCATATGGGATATTCTGGGGTTACAAGTGTGCACTCCTGCAGAGGAAATTTTGCTACCATTCCAGGGTTACACTTGGTGCACAAATGTGAAATATAAGGAGCATCACACAAATGCACCAACTGTAACCTTGGTGTAACTTAGTTGTTCACAAATGTGACCCTGAGTAATCCTGGTGTGAACACAGAATTGGTGCACACTGGGGATATGCATGTGCAACAGAAGAACTTTGGTACACTTCAGGTGCACAGCAGGGTCACTGTGTAAAATTACAAACAAATCCCCAGTGTGCACCAATTTCCCCACTTATTGGGAATGCGCAAGTAAATACCGTATATAAATATATATTTATATATTATAGGATGATACAAAAGGAATGTTGGAATTGGGGAATGATCCGGGCTTGGCCGAGAACATGGTGGCCCTGCAAAATGACTACGACGATTTGAGCGGCATTTGCGAGGCCCTGCGCATGGCCCACTTGGACATCTCATCGCGGTCCACGGTGTTGGAGTGGATCCCGAAGCTGCAGCTCACTGATGAGCAGTTGGAGGAGTCCAGGAAACAGCTGCAACGTCAGGCGGATGACCTGGTGCAGATACACAAGCAGAAGCAGGCCGAGGTCATGCGGATGTTGTCCATGGCCCAGTCGACGCTGAGGAACGTGGATGACACCATTGATACTGTAGGACATCATGCGTATTTTCATACAGCAGTATACTTTACTTCCCTGCCTGCCTCTTTCTTTCTTCCTTTCTTCCTTTCTTTTCAAATGTTTTTGTATGTTTTGTTTATAGCTACTGATGAATGACCCAGCATATATTCATTTTTATTTTTTATTTCATTTTTTTGCTTTTGGTGCAGGATAATGCTATTGCAAATTTCATGGAAGGAATATTGCTGGAAAATTGCAGTTTATTCATTGTAGAATGAGCCCCTATACTTTCTAAAGGATCTGTTAACAAAATGACTCATATAGAGAAATTCTTTCAGAATGAAACAAATAAGTTACTTCATAACACATTTATATAAAACTAATTTTTGTTATCAAAATATGTTGTAAATAATAATCATCCCTAAGATCGAACTTGTATTATATAAAAAAGTTCAGATAATGAATTTTTGAAATTAGAATAGCAATTGTTTCAAAAAACGAAATTCTTACATAACAAAATTATTTTAAAAAGGAAAATTCATTCACAATATTAATTCCAACGACAAAATTGCTTCAAGTAAAAAAGTTTCAACCAACAGAATTGTTTCAACCTAAAAACTTGTTTCAAATAAATGAATTGTTTAAAAGATGGTTTCAAATACTGTAATAATGTCATTTCAAACGAAACTTTTTTCCTCTAGCCAAATTTTTCTACATAACAAAATTATCTCACCTATAGCAACATTTTTTAAACTAACAAAATCGTTTCAAATGAAAAAAATTCCGATAAATAATGTTGTTTCAAAGGAAAAATCATAATTATTTTAAATTAAAATCGCTTTAAGTAGCAAAACCGTTGTACAGCAGTCGATCCATAAAAATTGTTTGAAATAAACTTAGAAAATCATCTCAAATGACGGAATTTTTCGAATAAAGATTTTTTTATATAAGAAAATTGTTTCAAATAACAAATGAAGTGACTTATGCAACAAAATTGCTTCGAAGTACAAAAGTTTTACAGTACAATGACTTGGCAAAATTGTAGAACGTTTCAGTTAAAACTTGAAAAATTTGCTATGAAATGAAAATGAGAAAAGGTTGAAATGCCGATTTTGTCAGTATCTAGAGCTGCGATCTTTTCTCTTTTTTTTATCTGGACTGACGCTGAGTTGGTCAGCACTGAGTTGTATGGAACTCAGCTGTTCCGACTCTCACTTATTGATCATGCTGGCGATAAGTGGATTCATCAGTGATTCTCTTTCTATAAGTTCTTGAAAAATTCAAATCGAACCCAATATGACCGTTTCGTAACCTATTCATTCTTTTTTTTTCGTTTTTGCCTCGTTGGGTTGACAGATTCAGTTTGTCCGTATGTCGGATTCCGAGAGGAAACGTCGCGTGATTTTGGAAGAGAATCAGATCGCAGTGGAATTCATGAACTTGGTGGGGAACACGTTGGGAGCCCTGCCTGCGATGATTGATTGGATCCTGCTCCAGTTTTGCTCCAGGGGCTCTTTGTTTGCTCGGATTCTCAAATTCACGCCCTTGTATTTGGCCTGTTCGAATTCCACTGATGAAATGCATGCCGGACTCTTGAATTCTACGGGGTTCACAAACCCTGATGAGCTTGCCGCAGAGGTAAATGAGAGTTGTACAACAATTTGAGAACAATATTTACTGTTATGTGAACTCGTCAAACCCCTTATGATAAAATGACTCATGGCAAAATTCTTGCACCAGAACAAAGCTTCATTATAAAGAAAATGTCTTTACTATGCAACATTGCCCCTATATAAACTGAAAGTTTCAAACATCAAAATGGTTGTATACATAACATCATCTAATTCTAATAATTAGCTCAAATGAGAAAATTACCACAGATTAAAAAATTATCTGAAGTAAAGGATCTCAAATAAAAAAAAAACTCATCTAAAAATTATCTCAAATAACAAAATTATCTAAAAAAAATCTCGAAATGAAAATTTTTCTCAAAATGCATAAATTGTCTCAAATTTAAAACTTTTTCACATAACATAAGTGATTCTAAGCTCGAATTGTTTAATAAAAGGTAAAAAAATTTAAACTACCAGAATTGTTTCAATTGCTTTGTTTCCACCGAAAAATATTTATACTGTATAACATTTTTCCTTAAAAAGATTTAAAATTAATAAAAAAGTTTAAAACATTTTTTTTCAAATCACAACATTTGTGTACATATAGCAAATTGCTGTCATTATTTTTATTGTTTCAGGTGTCTTATGCAAAGAAAGCTTTGATTGCTGCACTCGCAGGAAGTCGTGATCATGCTCAGAAATCGCTGGATGATTTCATGCAGGCTTACATGGGTAGCTCTGAAGCTGTTCAAGCCAATGGCCAAGCCTTGGGATATTGATTCGAATTAAATTGTCTTTCATTTTCTACGTATTTTTTTTAGTCCACAATTTAGCTCTTTTGTATGCGTTATTCTAATTTCATGGAGTTTATAAACAGCAGGAAAGGAAACCCGCAAGGCGGACCTTCCACACAGCATGAAGAATTTTCTCGCTTTTTTTCGAGAAAAAATAATCAAGATCGTGTGTTACAACTGAAAATGCGGGTAAAGCGTGACTCACACTCTGTGTTGTATTCATCGTATAATATACGTATACTCGTACTTTCTGGATTTGCTTTCCAAGAAGGTTATATGATTTACTAGAAAAATCGTATTCATGCGACTCATCTGAGCATCTGTCTTTATTTTTTTTCTCTCCAAGTATCAGTGTTTAGTTCTTTTCTTCGTTTTTTTTTCTTCTTCAGTTGAAGGGCGATTTACGACTGGAAAGACAGGAAGCAGGAAAACTGGACGCTTGGCAGTCTTGGTCCTGACCTTGCATCATGAGCTTGTGTTTTCTTCGCTCCGGTTACGGTTTTTCTGTCGCGGGTTTCTATTTTTATTTTATTTTGATAATTGGAAAGAATTGTGATTTATTGAGATGAGTTATTCACGAGAGTTTCAGATTTTACGTTGCGGTGACGACGGTTATTCAGGAGAATCTTGTGCGAATAGTTCATATACTGGCTGTGATTAATATTGGTGCGAAACGCGTAAACGTGTGTGTCCATGCAGTGACATGAGGTTTAATTTTACCAGAAAAACGTTTTCTACAAAGAAATATTAAGAGATTTGACAAACGAGTTTTGCATTATAATTTATGCTGAAGATTGTGATTTTCTTGCAGCATTTGAAAGTCGCGCGTTCTGAAGTCGTGGTGGAATTTTTAAAGCTTTGAGCCTGTGTATTTTTTTTAGATTTGCCTTCAAAGTTTTTTTCTTCCTTGAAATTTTATTGGAATCGAACATCTATGCGTAGCGAAAATGCAGATATTTAAATTTTATTTTTGTTATAATTGAACCTGACATGACTTCTTATGCATGAGTCTGTGTTTTTTGCTGAACTTACGAAATGTAGTAATTTTTTGTTCACTTTTGCTTTTTTCCTTATGCATTAAATTTAAATCGAAAATCTTGCGTAGCTAAAATTCAAAGCTTTTAATTTTTTTTTAATCTGACAAAACTTTTCATGCATTAATCGTAGTGTTTCGTGCTGAACTCGATACATGTGATAATTTTGCATTTAGCTTTTACAGTTTTTCCATTACGAAGCGCATTAAATTTGAATCAAAAATCTTCCGTAGCGAAAATGCAAAGCTTTCAATTGTATTTCGTTTAAAAACCTTACCGAGAAATTTTGTGCACGAATCGGAGTGTTTCTTGCTGAAGTCGCGAGACTCGCGACATATGTGCTAATTTTGCATTTATTTCTGCATTAGGAAACGCATTCAATCGGATTCTTGAATGGATGAATCATGTGGTGACAAAAAGCATTTCAGTGTGAATTAACATGAAGCCTTCGTAGCAACGCAATAATGACCCCATCCATGATCATCGTACCCTTGCTGGTGATTGCCTTCGTGCGAACGGTGGATTCTCACACTCGTTTCAAAGGTGATGCATTTATATTTGGTTTTTATATAGCTGTAGGAATTGAAAAGGGACACCCGCCTAACAGACCTCCCACGTAAGGCATTTTCGTGTAACAGACCAGCTCTGCAGGCATTTTTTCCTCCTGCCTAACAGACAAAATCTGTCAAACAGACTTCCTTTGGTATAAAATTAGTGTAGATATTTGAAATTTAAAATTTTTTTACATAATTGAATTTGTCTAAAGGACTTTTAGTCTAACAGACTTGTCCGTTGCACAAATTAAGTCCGTTAGACAGGGGTTGTACAGTAATCAGAGGATGTCAGCATACTATATAGCACAGTTTTTTCCGTTTTTCAAATCAGCATAATTTATGTATCAAAAACTTTTAACCCTTCTGCAGCAAACTTGGACTTTTTTGCAGATTTTGGTTGCACTCAAGAGTGGAATTAAAAAAAAAAAAAAAACTTGCAACAGTGTGTGCAGGGCAAAGTTTGGAAAAATTATTGCATCTTTTTAATTTCCCACAGAAAAATTTTGCCAGAAAATGAAAAAATGAAAACTTCAAGGCTCCCTTCTTTCCCCTGGCCTTGTGTTGTTTCCCCATTCAAAGATTAAATCTAAGCTTGAAAGCCAGGAGCCCAGGTTAGAGGTCAATGCAGAAAAAGTCCAACTGAGGACTTTCACAGGATTTCTTTATCCCTGGATAAAATCTGACTTTGCCCTCCCCCACCTGGCAGGGGTTCCATAACCTTGCGCAAAATGTTATGCAGGCCCATGGGGGAAATAGTCTGACTTTGCCCTGGGATGCAATGGAGGCTGCTGCTGTCCAAGGGTTAATGTGCCCAGTGCTATATGTCATTTACCCTATCCAGCTATGATCCAATGCATGCTGTCTGTCAGGAAAACATTTGTTGAGTTGCTGGCATCTGAATGGCACTGTGCTGAATTAGCGCTACTCTTTGTACAACAAAAATATGCACTTGATGAGCCTGTGAACCAAACCTGAGTTTGGTTCCCAGGCTCCACAAGGACCAGAAAATGATTCTCCCCAATGATGGTCAAACTTGACCTCCAAACCTAATTGACCTTTTCTCATATCGCTTCTTTTTAAACACAGTCTGCATTTTGAATTCAACCTGAGCAGATCTCTAGGGAGCTAGCTTGTATTTGCAAATTTTTCATGTGTCATTGTTAAAATAGCGTTCAAACCCCTCAAAAGCTCAAACTTCAAATTGAAAAAGAACTACTTATATTAAGACAAAAGTCCCAGCCACAGCCTGGCTGATTAATGTGATTCATTTACACTGCTTTAAGCAATTCTTCTGATTTATAATCCAGCAATGTAACAATGTATGTGTCATTGTCAAGCTGACTCTTTCAACTTTTTGAGTAAAGCATAAAATTTCCTCACACAGTCAAAATTTATTTTTTACGTGGTGTTATTCCTCAAAACCCAATTTTGACAAAATTCTTCCAATATGCTGGACTTTTAATGGTCCCTAGAATTTGATTGTGATAGAGACAGTCCATTTGTGTTGATGGACAAGAGTAACAATTAAGATGCTAAATGAATTGAAAATTTCCAAATGTGCAGTAATTTCTTGCAAAACCTGTGTCACGTGTGTTATTCTAAACTTGTGCTCCAGCAAAAAGTGCCTACGTACAAGTATGCATGCAACCTTCAACCCGTCGATAATTTTGAATATTAATAATGACATTGAATTATTTGTTCCACTTCAAATCTTGAAACAAAGATGGGTCAGGCAACTGGAGAGGCAGACGCTCTCGCGGAAGAATTTGTGCAGCACCAAAAACCTGCATCAACGCAGTCAAAGCCCAGGTTTTTTGCACTCCAAATACTATCAAAAAATTCAGCACAAACTGCGCCAATAATGAGGTGTGTTGCGAAAACGTGAGACTCAAGAAACGAAGGATTCTGGCAACGTCAATGACAAAGCATGACAGAAAACGACCATCCGTGATTTTGGCAAAGCGCAGCAGGTTCGTGTTTGGTTGCTGATTGCTAAAAAAAAAAAGGATTTCATAATCTTGATTCAAATACCTTTTAATGATTTGAGTGCATGATTTTAATTATTCAGTGGGATTAAGAGAAGTACACGGGTTTGCCTTGCGCTTCAAACGCACCGTGCGTTTCTAGTCCTTTAAGAAACACTGCTCCAGGAGCCCTTTAACCTGACGCCAAAACTGAGTTAAACGACGTATTAGCTGTTAATTGGACCTCCTGTGAAGTGAATGTTTTATACTTCTCTATTTTGGTTTTCAAACCTCAAAAGAAAAGTCGAATTTTCATAAAATTCACTGCCCAGATGTACTCGAGTACCACACGGATTTTTTTTCCAGTAATTTGGAGCTTAAAAATAAGGTTCGCCTTATATTTCTAATTTTTAATATATCAGATGGCATCAGAAAGAAAAATTGAAGTTTTCTCCCCACCTTCAAATTTGTTTCAGGGTTCATTTTTTATATTGTTATTTTTTGAACCAAAAATTGCCCATTATTGAAATGGATTTTCAAGTGGGCTTCAATTTCAATTTTTACCATACACAGTTCTTCAAATAGGAATTTTGGCGACTGAGAATGAGTTTCTTATGTATATTAGGGATAAGATTCATTGCTAAAATGTTTAGCTAAAAATTCAAGGTGCATATCTTACTTGAAGACACGTGGTACCCAAGTAAATACAAGGGTTGGTTCTTAAATGTTGACACTTTTTGAAATAGATCCATTGGAGTTTCAACAATTCTAATTTTGAAAATTAAATAGCTCATTTGGCAACGCTTCAGTGCTGATCAATGTACTCTCCGCCAATTTCAATTCATCTTCTCATGCAATAAATCCAACAATGAAAACAGTGCCAAAATTGAATTCCCCCTGTTATAACCAAGCTACTCTTTGGTGGCAGAAATTATGAAATTGTCGCTGTCCTCAAAATCATTCCCTTTGAGATCTTTTTTCACCATTGGGAACAGCCAGAAATCACTGAGTGCCATGATTCTTTTGGGGGGAAATTTGACAAACAATTGTTAAATCACTGTTGCATGGATCTATTCCAAAACTTGCAAAACTTATGAGCCATACATAACTGCTTGGGATAATGGGGAAGTTTGTGTTTGTCTATTAAACAAAATTTGAGCATTGCACAATTGATACTTTTTGCAGAGATCCCGTGAAGCGACCAATCGGTCAGCTGACAAATTGCCCAACTGACACTGGACAACACAGCTGCGTGGATGAGGCATTGGCTCTGCTTTGCGAGAAAGATCTGGGTAAAAAAGACTGCGAGGAAGGTCAAACTTGCTGCTATACAGAGTGAGTCACAGTTGTCAAATTTGATTTGCTTCAAAGTAAAACTTTAGATTTTTTTTTTGTTTTGGAGATTATTGTCTTTGACTTGGAAGTAAGCTGATGAATCTTGGGAATGTGGAGAGACTTGGATTTGCATCCAGAATTTTTTTTCTGCAGCCTTAATACGTTTGAATTTTCAATGCTTCCCCAGTTCCAGAGCAATCTGAACTTGTTTGCTGGCTATCAAATAAAACTAAACCCCATTTTTTCTATTCGAAAATATGTGTGAAGTAGAAAAAAGTACAGCATTTCTGTATTTATGACGATAGCAAAGTGAGTGCAATGCTTCCTATAATTCCATGCAGCTAAAATTATTTATATCACAAGGATTGAAACGAATGTTGGAGACAATTTCAAAAAGGCGCGTTCAGAAGATTGAAATTTATAAAACCGAAAAATTAATTGTTGAAACCATTTGCAAAGATTTTCAACAGTTTTATTCCTATAGTATTCTCGGTTGGACTACAGATATTTTGGGTTTTTCCATGTTGACCTACACAGCGAAATAAAAAATGTGATTGCTTTTAATCAAGTACATATGTATAAGTACACCATATTTTTCATTTTTTTGGAGTGGAATACAGCACATATAATTCATAGTTTCATGGAATTATATTGCAATTATTTATTCAACAAGATAAAATGTTTTCAAATGTTCTGACAAACACAAAACCCATAAAAATAATGCGATGAAATTTCATAATAACTAATTTTCAAGATTGAATTTAATTTTTGGTGGTTTCTCCCTTATTTACCTATACAGTATATGCTTGTATATAAACTCAGTTTGATTTATTGATTTATTTGCTTATTTATTTAGTTGTGTTTATTCATTTAGATATACTGTATATAGTTGACATGGGAATCATTATTGTTACTTGAGGTGCAACTGCAGTCCAATTTTTCCTAACAAATATTTTTGCTTGATTCCTTTATTTGAAAAAATCATCATTTTTTGCTTGCTAGTATTGTCAGAAACTAAAAGAAGAAAAACAACCGTTTCCAACAAAAAACGCCGCTTAGCTTGCGTAACTGCCAAGAACGGCAACAGGAATAAATTTTGAGGTTATAAACCAACACAGAAACTAGGTCATAAAAAACCTTTGACCTTTGATTTCACATAAGTATTCTGATGAGGCCAGGAAGAAAGCTGAATTTTAAATAAGCGTAATCTTTGATTGAAGACATAAATTTGTTGTTTAGTGTTCCCATCTTTAAAAAATGTTTAAAATTGTTTAGAATTTTGAGATTTTTTTTTTTTTTTGGAACATGATTTCATCCGTATTAGGAATTACAATACTAGCTGTAGTAATTGTGTATAGTGGACGGAGTATCTGACGTTGTACAACCCAATCAGAAGTACACATAAAGAATGTCTTGCTAACAACTTTATTAGGTCGGTTTTGACGGAGTTTGAAGTTTTTTATTGGGTAGTCATCGGTCAGTTCGTCCACCCAGTTCAGCAGACTGCAACCTGCCTTTGAGCTGCATCCCGGCAGATGTCGCTGAAAGCACTTGTGATGCGTTGAAGCCCATCACAGAAACCGGATGTCCGGATGGCCAGTTTTGCTGCTCACCTCTTAGCCAAATTCCTGTAGAAAGCGTCAGTCAGAAACCGGATTCCACTCAAAAGAAAGTTTTAGTTGTTGAAAGACTCCCTCTTTAGTTTCAGTTCGACCTTCACCTTCTTACGGACTTCGTCATGAGCTTTCAGTTGCTTGAAGTCGTCAACTTCTTTTATCTTTTACTTCCAAACTCTTAGTATTTAATATCACTGAATTTGTGATGAATTTTTCAATTGATATTTTTAAACTCATGAAATATTTTTCAAATTTATGCTGAATTTCTCAATTACAGTACTATTTTTAAATATATGATGAACTTCTCAATCAATATTTTTTACATTTATGATGCATTTTTGATTCATATTTTTCAAATTATATCTTTTTATTGATTTTTAACATTTATAATGAATTTTTCAATTGACATTTTTAAGTTTATGAGGAATTTTTCAATTGACATTTTTTAAGTTTATGATGAATTTTTTTATGTATATTTTTGGTGTAAGAATGAAATTTTCAGTTGATAATTTCAAATTTATGATGGATTTCTCAATTAATATTTTTAAATTCGCGACGATTTTTTGAATTGATATTTTTCAATTTGTGATGGATTTTTTAATTTATACAGTACTTTCAAGTCTATGATGAATATTTGCAATTAATATTTTCAAGTTTATGTTGAATTTTTTATTCATATATTTAAATTTACGGTGAAGTTTTCAGTTGGTATTTTTACATTTATGATGAGTTTTTCTCGAAATTTTCAAATTTATGATGAATTCGCGCGTGGACTAATAATGTGGCTTTGAAATCGACTCAAATTCAATAGATGTTTTATTTTCTCTAGGGACAAACTTGTTCGCCTGTCCAGAGAACAGTTCTTTAAATCCAGAAGAGAAATGTTGGATTGTAGAAGTATTTTACAAAC